CTCATGACCTGAGCCGAAGGCAGGCACTTAACGACTGAGCCACCAAGGTGCCCCCCAATGTCACCTCTTCATTGAGGCTTTCCCTGAATGCCCTATCTAAAATAACCACCCTAATCATCTTCTATCCCTTACCCTACTTTATCTTTCTTTGTTGCATTTATCATGACCTACATATATTATGTCTCATTTATCATCAGAATCTCCCAGAAAAACATAAGCTCCACAAGGGCAGCACTGTGTAATAAACAGTTATATCCCTGTTGCCAAGAATACAGACATACAGATAGTGCTTAATAAATAATGAATGATTGATTAATACTTTTGAGATAAGAGCATGATTTTTAAATGTTTGGTGAAACAAAAAGTATTATCATTCCAATTAAAACCAAGAGAATGTTCATTTTACCAGAACTTCAAAGATTTTTTTTCCCCTAACTCAAGGGCAGATGGTACATAAAGAGCAGAAAGACAATTTACAGACAAGTTTATTTCTTCAAACTTTCTTTGCAGTAAGTTGTGTTCATGCTTGACTTAGTAACATGGGCAAAACCACAGCACAATATTAAGAAAATAAAAAATACTCTTAGAAATGAACCCTTTCAAATATCTTCTGATTTTCTAAAATCAACTAAACTTGTTTTATGCTTTTACTCCAGAGCAAACTAAATTATTTAAAAAGTAGACCATAGTCCACAGTATAAGCTAGTCTTTAAGAATTAATCTTGATCCACCAAATGCTAACCAAGAGAACAGTCTCTACTTTTTTTTTTTTTTTAAGATTTTTTATATTTATTTGACAGAGAGAGACAAAGCAAGAGAAGGAACTCAAGCAGGAGGAGTGGGACAGGGAGAAGCAGGCTTCCCGCTGAGCAGGGAGCCCGATGCGGGACTCCAGGATCATGACCTGAGCCGAAGGCAGTCGCTTAACCAACTGAGCCACCCAGCAGCCCCACTACTTTTTTTTTTAAGAGAGGAAGTGAGAAAAGGGTAGGGAGAGGGAGATTCTTAGATCTTAAGATTGATGTGGGGCTAGATCTCACAACCACGAGATCATGACCTGAGCCAAAATCAAGAGTCGGATGCTTAACCAACAGAGCCACCCAGGCACCCTGAACAGTCTCTACTATTATTTGGGCTAAGCCTCTTTAGGAAAGAAGCAGTAAAGAAGAGAAGTCACAGAAAAAGTCAGAGAACTGAGAAGAAACACACATCTCTGCCACTGTATGGCTGATGGATAAAACCTGAGAATTTATCCCTCAAGCTACATGTTCATTCACCAAGAAAAATCACATTCTGGGTCATAAAACACACCTTAACAAATTTAAAAGAACAGAAACCATACAATGTCTGCCCTCAGATCACAATGGAATTAAACTGGAAATCAGTAACAGAAAGATAACTGGAAAATCACAAAACATGTCAAGACTAAACAATACATTTTTAAATAACACAAGGGTCAAAGAGGAAAAAAAAATCAAGACAAATTCAAAATATTTTTAATCAAATGAAAATACAACTAATCAAAATTTATGGGATGCAGCAAAAGCAGTGCTTAAATGAAAATTTATAGGATTGAATGCAAATATTAGAAAAGAAGATCTAAAATCAAACACCTAAAGTTCCACCTTAGGAAACCAAAAAAAGAGCAGATTAAATCCAAAGTAAGCAGAAGCAAAAGAAATATTAGAGCAGAAATCAATAAAACTGGAAAGAAATCAATACAGAAAATCAATGAAACCGAAAACTGGTTCTCTGAGAAATTCAATAAAATCAATAAGCCCCTCTCCAGGCTAACTGAGGGAAAAAAGAGAGAACACAAATTACTAATATCAGAAATGAAAGAGGGGACATCACTACAGACCCCGTGGACATTAAAAGAATAAAGAAGCACTATGAATGACTCTATGCCCACAGATTTGATTTGATTTTACTTTTTAAAGATTTTATTTATTTGAGAGAGAAAGAGCATGCGTGTAAGCATGAGGCAGGGGGAAGAGGCAGAGGGAGAGAGAGAAGCAGAATCCCTGCTGAACAGAGAGCCCAACCACTCCAGAATGGAGAGTGAAGTCGTGGGACACCTTGATTTTACTTCTATTTATTTTAAAGATTTTGTTTATTTATTAATTTCTTTGAGAGAAAGAGTGCCTTTGGCTCAGGTCATGATCTCGGGGTCCTGGGATTGAATCCCGCATCGGGGTTCTGCTTCTCCCTCTCCCTCTGCCTAATGCTCCCCCTGCTTGTGCTTTCTGTCAAATAAATAAAATCTTAAAAAAAAAAAAAAAGAAAAAGAAAAACGATAAAGAAAAAGTGGAAATCAGACTAAATTTTATTTAATCAGAAACATGTACCTATTCTGAAAAATGTCCTGAAGTCATAGAATCAGAAATGTGAGAGTCAGAAGGTGTTTTAATCTCCACCAAGCCCCACTTCTCTTATCTAAAAGGAAACTGGAACCCTTACCAAGTTGAGTGATTCTGTCAAATTCATAGAACAAATAATGGGCAGAATCTGGGTCTTCTGAGTTCAAGTACTACATGCCTTGCATATCATTAGGCCCAAGCAGGGCAAAGGTTCTTTTTTTTTTTTTTAAGATTTTATTTATTTATTTGACAGAGAGAGACACAGCGAGAGAGGAAACACAAGCTGAGGGAGTGGGAGAGAGAGAAGCAGGCTTTCCGCTGAGCAAGGAGCCCAATGCGGGGCTCCATCCCAGGACCCTGGGATCTTGACCTGAGCCAAAAGCAAGCACTTGACTGAGCCACCCAGGGACCCCAGTCCAAAGGTTCTTAATTTAACCAAGCTGTATTCAAAATAAATTCAACCCCTCACTTCATTTAATGGCTAAACCCTTTCCTTTTTTTGAGGTATTCCAAGCACTGACCAAACTTGCACATACAGACATCAATTTCATGACTGGGAACACTACAGTGGAGTTAATACAGAAATGTAAGCAATACCAGAATGGAGTCAACTACCTGGCTGGTAGTTGCTGACATTCTCCAGGTGACATTCTCTTAAGTGACATTTTGAGAAACAGCATTAGTTTTCCTTAACTTAAAACAAAATTACAATTTTGAGATGGCAGGAGATGGGTTCTTCCAGTATTACAGAATACTAGGAATAAATTCACACTGGGCTTCTTTGTGACTATTTTAAGGATTTTTATTATACCTTTCTTCAACTTTTCAGACCAAGAAGTCAAAAACAGAGCTTAAATTTAAGAAGTGGAGATCTGAGTTTTAGTCCAGACTATGCCAAACTATTGTTACCTTAGATAGACCAGTGCTTATTTCTAGACCTCAGATTCTTCCTTATGTAAAATAGGGAGGATTGGGGGGTGGAGGTGGTTAGGCTAATTATTGTCTTTCGCTCCTTCTCATTCGTCTATTCCCTGTCTTTGTCTAATTTCACTGATCCAAAGGGAAAAAGAAAAAACCTCTTTATGAATACAAAGTGTTATTATTCACTGAGGTCAAACACACACACACTGCCCAAGAGTCATAGGTTACGTTAGCTGGTAGAGTGCACCAGAAACCACATTATTTTGAAGTTCTTTTCTTTCACATTAAGTTTCTAAAAGTCATTCAAAAGTCCAACATCAAACACAATAGCTGAACAATGTCAACATTTGGTCCTGAAAAAGCATGGTACACTTGAGGCTAAATTCCAAGACAGACTGCCCTCCGGATGAGAATTTGAAATCTTTTATATCATCAAATAATTGACAATGTTGAACTTTACCAGACCCCTGTGATCTTGGAAAACAGCAAAGGTTAAGAAAGAGCCCCCACGCCCTTCTGTGTTCTGGAAAGGGCTTACTGCAATGAACCACGGGTCCCCATAGGACTTAGATAAGACTCTAAGATGCCCCACTTGTTTACCTATGACAAGGTCAAAGCCCGCAAATTCCCTTTGCTTCATAAATGACTGGATGAATGGCATGTCCCCATAGATCAACTGGAACAAAATATTTGTTACTCAAATTCTGGGTAAGATCCTCTTTCCCCAGGTTCCCGAATTTTGGCCCACCCTTGTCTGAAGCAGCATAAACTTCTCTGGCCTGAGGGTAAAACAATCTGATCTACTGTTCAGTGGTACTTCCCTTTCATCTCACTTCCCCACACTTGGTTCTCTCTAGGATTGCTTTACTCCTCCCTAATAAAAAGAAAAACCTTTTGCTTAACCTTTTAGACTCTTGCTTATCTTACGGTTAGGGCATTCTTCTTATTTCCCCAAGCCCTTACAATATTCCTTTCCAATAAAATCTCTCCTTACTAAGTCTGAATTTTTCATTTGACACCCTTCCCAATTTCAAGTGGGCTGAGTTTTGGGGCGCCTGGGTGGCTCAGTTGGTTAAGCGGCTGCCTTCGGCTCAGGTCATGATCCCAGGGTCCTGGGATCGAGACCCACGTCAGGTTCCCTGCTCAGTGGAGAGCCTGCTTTCTCCCTCTCCCCCTGCCTGCTGCTCTGTCTACTTGTGCTATCTCTCTGTCAAATAAATAAATACTTAAAAAACAAACAAACAAATGGGCTCAGTTTGAAAGATAAGCTGGCTTTGCCCTTTCTCTTGGTGACAGGCGCTGATCCTCAAAAAGGGATCCGTTGTGTCCACCTGGAAAAGCTGACGGGATTTCTAAGATCTTAAGTTCTTGGCTACTACCAAGCAGCTGAGAAAAAGGGAGGGACGGAGATGATCAACCCGGAAAGGTCAACTCTGGGACCACCTGGCGCCACACGCCATACACAGTGAATGGCCCACGAACATTCCGGCTACCTACTCCATACTCCTGGACAGATTTCGCGGTTGGGCAGGACGGACGCCGCTTCCTCAGCGCCCCAGGAGCTCCGGGACAGGTGAGGAGTCCTGCCCCCGTGGTTCATCCCATTGCTCTCGCCCGCTTCATCCTCAGCTAGGCACCCGACTGGCTACCTTCACAGGACTAACCTGCTGGCCCCTAACTTCCCACTGTTGTTTCTCCAGCCTTCACAGGAAGACTCACCATGGCGCCAAGGACAGGTCGTGGGCCGGACGCCCTGGAGTCCCCGGGACCGTCCTGGACCTTCCCTCCCCACCCTGCAGCCAGGAGCCTCTTAAACAACGCGAGGGAGAGTTTTCCGGCTCTGACGGAAGTCCTGCCCGCGCGGGACAGGAAGTCCCTCCCCTCTCTTGAACGCCGGCGACCCCACGCCACGCAGAGGTGAGGATACGCAGGACGTCCTGTAATGCCACTTCCGTGGGTGCTAGGTTAGAAGCTGGGGCGGTGCTGACCTTGAGAGCGCGCGAGGGAGGCGCAGGCGCAGCACAGGTAGGTGGGCGGGCGGCGCGAGGTTGCAGCGCCTGTGAGGATCCGGAGGTAGGTTGGGTGGTTCGGGCCGGAGGGCGTCCTCTCACTGGGAGGTGATGGAAGCGCAAGTTGATGAACCGGGTGGGAGCCGACCCCAGAGGATTAAGTGAGGGAGAAAAACCACAGGCCGTGCTCGTGCAGGGACAACAGTAGTTGCTTCAGCTGAGCCACGCCCCCTTTTTTTTTTTTTTTTTAACCTTTTCCTTTTCCAGGCTGACCGTCCTTGGAGACTTGCCGGATCTCCACAGACCTGTCTGTCCCTCTATCGTCTCTTTTACCTGCTTTAGTGCATACTAAAGCTCTCCCTTCCTCAAGACGGTGGAATTTGATCCTGAGACGTTTCTTCACTATTCATATATATATACCAGTGGAAACCAGAAGAACATCTACCAAGATCAGAGAAACGAAGAGAATTCTGCCTGTTGGAAAATATTCCAATATGGACGGTTTCCTTTTATTTAAAAAAAAAAAAAAATATATATATATATATATAGATATAGATATAGATATATATAGATATATATTATATATATATCATCAGCTGGAAAAAAGTGAAACTCCCATGTACCTCTTAAATTTATGTTGTTTTTGGTTTTTTTCCCCCAAAATTTGTACCCTTCAACTCTGTGCCTTTTTATTTGGTCACAGTACTGGAGGCAGGATTGAAATGGATATACAGAACACCTTTAACCCAGAAATTAGTCTCACAATTTGGGGATCCTTGCTTAAGACGTGACTGTATCTACAATTTCATTTATAGGATCTCTTTTTTGCCACTGTCTAGTTTTGTCATAAAGCTGGAATTGGGGAGCTAAACTAGGAAGCTTCACAAGAGGTTAAGTTTGGGCAGGCAGGGGTGGCTATGGATGTTGTTTTACCCTCCTTCTCAAAGTATTTGGAGAGCATGATATCCAATCTATAAATGGTCGGAAGACCCTTGGAGTCACTCCTTAGCTATCCAGAAGCAGCATGGACAGGGCAATTGCTTTATATTAAAAAGGGGGCTGGAGACTGAATGTTTGAGTTGTTTTTAACTTTAAATTTTCTTTTGGGGGGAGATGAGTAATGTGGCAGACAAGATAGAGGAATTACAAGTACTAACGTTGGAAACAGCTGGAGGTGGGTGGGGCTGGGAAATAGTTTGTGAAACAGACCTGCTGAGAATCAATCCAGAACTTCCCTGAGGGTTCTACCTCTGCTGTATAGGGACAACATTGTAAATAGACAAGACCCAGGGCATCTGCAGATGCTAAGTGTGGTAGAGAAGGACTGGAGTCGTTCTGCTTGTGTATCTGTGGGAAGCAGCTGCTATCCTTGAGGAAGAAAAGGTGGAGAAGGAAACTGGCTCTCAGTCTGTCAGTGACAACACATTCTATGAAGTCTTACTCTTTCATTTCAGACACTTTGGTTCTTACATCCGTCCTAAACCTGGCAGCCTCATTGAGGTTCACAAAGCATCTCCTCCCTATGTGACAGTAAGACTGGAATTATTATCAGGATGGAACCCACTCCTGCCAGAGTAAAACCACGAAAGGAAATCACAGTATTCTGCTTATCATTTTTAATAGATCATGGAGTTCTATGTTCCTTATTTGGTATTTGACAAGTTGATAAATAACCCTTGGTTAATATCCTTTAATATTCCAATTTCTATTACAATGTGAAAAATCTGTTACAAGTAACGTTTTTTTAAAGACTAAAACGCATACCATATATGTTTGAAGGCAGCATCTCCCTTTTTTATCCACAGAATTGTAATATTTTGTATTGTTTCCATGTGTTGAAGTTGAGAGATTTACCTATTTCCATTCCTTAAAGTAGATGAGAGTCTTTGACAGAGATTCAAAGAAAGGGGGAAATTATGAAAGGGAATAAAATATGTGCATAATGGAGATTAGGAAGAAATTCAGTAGTCTTGCAAGGGAATTAGGAGCCCAATCTTTGATAAAAGTCTTGTTTGCTAATTAGGGCTTTGTTTTGAGTTGCAATGTTCTGAGTGAGAACTGTTCTCAAATACTTTAGAACACCAGCAAAAAGTTATGTCTTCTTTCAACACCCACACTGACCTGGAACATTTTCAACCATTAACACTGTTAATTAATTAATCACTGTTTCAAAGGCCAGCTCCATATTCTTTGCAAAATGTTTTCCTGATTAACTCCCCTTCTGAGAAATTTCAATTACTTTTTCTTTTCTTTAATAAATATGATTTTTATGTGCTTATATGGTGCCTTTGTAATTTCTCCCCAATATATATTGTTTTCCTAATTAGACACAAATGCCTGGAAAGCTGGGACCTTCTTTTTGTGTTGACCACCTCCTTCTTAAGAAATACCATTTAAATGAATGTTGTGGACAAAATCACTTCGGTTACATTGCTCTTAAAATGCTTTATGGACAAAAATATTAGTTGTAGCAATACTTATAATGGTAAAAAATTAGAAACAATCGTTAGCAATTAGAGATTGGTCAAATTCTATCATGTATACTTAATTGGAATATTATTTAGCTACTTTTTAAAAGTGATTAGTCTTTCTAATGGAAAAGTTTATTTTCCAAGTTAAAAGAGCAGTCTACAAAATTGTGACCAGCATGATTGCTTTGATGTGAAAAAAAAATCCTAAACATAGAACAAAGAGTAAAAAAGGAAGTAACCAAATATATCAATCACCATTCCTAGAATTACCTTCTAAACCTTTCTGTAAGGGTGTAATTTTAAAAAATTTATTTCCTTTTATTTAAGAATGGATGAAAGGAGCTTCTTTTCTTTCTTTCCCAAAATTATGCTTTGTAACTTCTCTATAATTCTCATCTTCCTAATTTGGGAAAAACAAAACAGACATGCTCTTCAGAAGTATATTGCAACCCTTTAATAATTCAGTAACCTTCCTCTGAAACTTCCATTATTTACATGTTACCATAGTTAAAGCTAGGACCATACCACATACCTAATTAATTAGAATAACTACTGCAAATTTTACGCAAATTACACAGTGCACATTTTCAAGGATCACTAACATACATAAATGGGATCCCGGTATCATTTGATACCTTTTGCTACTAGAAAAGTCTTTAAACAACCACCACCAAGAGCAATAAACAAACAAAATCATAAGAAAATACCTGTTTAAAACCTAAATTAACTTTTTTCATTCATTAAATATTAAGTATGTACTGTGTCCCAGTCACTGTTCTAGACTTGGAGAAACAATGGTAAATAAAGCAGACATAGTCCTTACTATGAGGGAATTTACTTTTTAGTGGTAATAGACCATAAATAAAAATATAAGATAGTAATAGTCTTAAGAAATTAAAATAGATGACTATTTTAGATTAGGTGACTAAGGAAAGCTTCTAAGAAAGTGCCATTTAAGCTCCTATTTGACAGGAAAATCCAGCTTTGCAAAAATTGGGGAAATCATGCTTGCAGAGGGGACAATAACACAAAACCTTAAGGCGTGAACTAATTTGGAATATTTCAGGAACCAAAGAAGCTTACCTGTTGGAGCATGGTGACTAAGAAAAGAGTAAGTTTAGAGGGGTATGAAAGAGCTAAGTTATATTGGCATTGAAAGCCAGGAAAGGATTTGGATTTTATTTGGAGTGTGATGAGAAAGGCATTTAACCTGAGGAGTGGGATGAAATAATATATATATTTTTAAATCTATTCTGATAATATTTTTTTAATTGAAGTATTTAATCTACTTACATGTAACACAGTTACTAATATGGTTGAATTTGAATCTATTAAGATATTATTTGCTCTTTATTTGTCCTATCTCTCCTATGTTGATTTTGTCCTTTTTTGCATTCTTTTAGATTAATTTTTACTTTATTTATCCCACCCCATCAGCTTGAGAGTTAAATATTCTTTTAGTAGTTTGTATTGTACCTCTTCCTGGATGATACAACAACCCAAGAACACATCAACTTCATTTACCACCCCACTTCATGTTATATACATAATGTATACTTAATCTCTTACTTAATGTCTTAAATTCCTCAAGACATCATTTTTATACAATTACTGTGCATTTATCTTTATTCAACCATTTACCTTTGTCTCTTGTGCTTTATGACTCCTTGAGTTTCTGAGCTTCTGTCATGCTTTAGTATTTCCTTTTGTAAATGTCTGCTGGTGATAAATTCAGTTTTTGTATCCCGAAACTATTTATTTCACTCTCATTTTCAAAGAACATGTTTACTGAATGAGCAGCTATTTTATCATTTTGAAGATACATTCATTGCTTCTGGCTTCCATAATTTTTTTGAGAAATAATTTCAGTTTTATTTTTGTCCCTATAAAAGTAATCTTTTTGGCTCTGGCTGCTTTTAAGATGCTTGTCTTAAATTTGAAGCAGTTTTATTATGATCTAACTAAATGCTTTGGGTTTTCTTGGTTTTCTTTTTGAGATTTGTAATGCTTGTTGAATCTGGGTATGATGTTCTTATTCTGTTTTGGAAAATTCCCAGCTCTTAGATACTGCTTCTCCCCCATTCTTCCCCTTTCTCTCCTTCTGATACTCCACTTAAATGTATGTTAGATCATTTTACATTATCCCTTAGGTATCCGTTCATTTGTCTCTCATGGTTCATTCTGGATAATTCTTACCTTTCTTTGACTTTACTGTTTCCTTTTGAATAGTCTCTAATCTCCTGTTAAATCTATCTGTTGAATCATTTATTTCAGTTATTTTTTGGTTGTGAATTTGGGCATTTCTGTTTGTTTTGTTTGTTTGTTTGTTTGTTTAAGATTTTATTTATTTATTTGACAGAGAGACAGCGAGAGAGGGAACACAAGCAGCGGGAGTGGGAGAGGGAGAAGCAGGCTTCCCGCTGAGCAGGGAGCCCGATGCGGGGCTCCATTCCAGGACCCTGGGATCATGACCTGAGCCGAAGGCAGACATTTAACGACTGAGCCACCCAGGCGCCCCTGTTTGTTTCTATTTTAATGGCTTCCA